ATAACACCAACAAACAAACATAAGAAAAATTAACAAGAAAGGCAATATGGTTCCCCTAAAGGAACATAATAACATTAATATTGGACTGTTAAGAAGTGGGGATTGATGTTTACTGAGATTGAATCAATAATAAAGAGCCTTCCAAAAGAGAAAAGCTCAGGACCTGATGGCTTTACTGATGAATTCTACAAAGCTTTTAAGAAGGAACTAAAAATGAAAGAGAACACTTCCAAATCCATTCCATTCCATCACCTTAATTCCAAACCAGGGAAAGAAAATAAAAAATGAAATGTAGACCAAGATCCCTGATCATAGATGCAAAAATCCTCAATAAAATGCTAACTAATTGGATCCAACAACACATTAAAAATATCACCCACCCAGGCCAAGTGGAATTTATCCCAGAGATGGCCCAACATATGCAAATGAATAAACCTGATATATCACTCTACAACTAAGGAGTAATATAAAAGGATAAGCCATGTGATTATCACAATAGAAGAAGAGACAGCATTTGAATACATTATTGTATGATAAAACATTTTAGAATTGTGTATAAAAAGAATATACTTCAGCACAAGCTAATATATGACAGTTCCACAGTCAGGATAATATTGAATATGTAAAAGCCAGAATCATTTGCGTTAAATCAAGAATGAGCAAAGGATGCCCACTCTCCTCATTACTATTCAATATAGTTTTGGGGGTTTTAGCCATAGCCATTAGGCAAGAAAATGAAATCAAAGAGATATAAAATGGAAAGGATAAATTAGTTTATTTCTGTTTGCAGATGACATGATTCTTTATATGGGAAACCAAATGAATCCACTAAGATGCTATTAGATACTCATAGAAGAGTATTTTTGAAAAGTTGCAGAATACAAAATTAACACATAAAAATTAACAGTTTTTTTTAAAGATTTAGGTTTCTTTACTTGAAAGGGAGAGATGGAGGGAGGGAGGAGGAGGAGAAGGAGGAGAGAGAGAGAGGGAGGGAGAAGAGAGAGAGAATCAGTAAGAATCTTCCATCAGTTGGGTCATTCCCTAAATGGCCACAACAGCTGCAGTTGGGCCTGGCTGAAGCCAGCTTGGTGCTTCTTCTAGATCTCCCATGTGGATGCATGGGCCCAAGTGCTTGGGCTGTCTTCCTCTCCTTTCTCAGGCTCATTAGCAGGGAGCTGGATTGGAAATGTAGCAGCTGGATTCCAAAAATGCCCATATAGGATGCTGGCGCTGCAATTGGTGGCTTTATTTACTGTGCAACAGCACTGGCCCAGCAATCCTAAAAAATTAAACAAACCCAGAGGCATGACACCAACAGATTTCAAGACATATTACAGAGTTGCCATTGCAAGAAGTGGCTTAAATCACTAAGTCACAATGCTGGTTCTATCTGAGAAAAAGCTTGTAAGATCAGTTCTATTCACAATAGCTACAATAAAGTTTAAATATCTTGGGATACATTTAACCAAGGATGTGAAAGATTTCTAAAATGATCATTAGGAAACCTTATTGAAAGAAATAGAAGACACAAAAATGGGAAAATCTCCCATGTTCAGGGATCCCAAGTAATAATATCATCAAAATGTTCTAGCCAAAGCAATTTACAGATGCAATATGATCCTAATGAAAATACCATGGGCATTCTTCAGAGATCAAGAAAAAAATCCTAAAATTCATATGGAATTTTAATTTTAAGTATCTTTTAAAAAATTTATGTGTTTATTTGAAAGTCAGAATTACAAAGATATCTTGAAACTACTGGTTTACTCCCAAATGGCTGCATTGGTTGGAGCTAGGCAGATCTGAAGCCAGGAGCCAGGAGCTTCTATGTCTCCAATGTGGGTGCAGCAGTCCAAGGGTTTGTGCTATCTTCCTCTACTTTCTCACATGCATTAGCAGGGAGCTGAATCAGAAGTGGAGTAGCTAGGAATCAAACTGGTACCCATATGGGATGCGGGCACTGCAGGTGGAGGTTTTACCCAATGTGCCACAGCACTGGCCCAACAATCTTAAATAATAAAACAAAACTGGAGACATCACACCACCAGATTTCAGGACAAACTACAGAGCTATAATTGTCAAAACATCTTGGTACTGGCACAAAAATAGAGATGTACATCAACAGAAAATAATAGAAGCCCCGGAAATTAATCCATGTACTGCAACAAACTAATCTTTGACAAACAAGCTAAAATCACTGCCTGGAGAAAAAGTCTCTTCAACAAACTGTATTGGATAAATTGGATTACCACATCTGCAAGACACTGCCTTAGGCACTGACTTCTTGGATAAGACCCCAGGAGTACAGGCAATAAAAGCATAAGTTGACAAATGAGATTACATCAAGCTAAGCAGTTTGTGCACAGGGGAAAAAAAGTGAAGATGCAATTGACAGAATGGAAGGAAATATTTACACATTTTGCATCTGATAAAGGATTAATAGCCAGAATATATAGGGACCTCAAGATACTGAACAACAAAAGAACTAATCCTGTTAAGAAATGGGCAAAGGATGAAGTATAAACTGCCAACAGACACATGAAAAATTGCTTAGGATCATTAGCCACCTAGTAAATGCAAATAAAAACCACAAATTATGTATTGCCTCACCCTCGCCCTAGTTAGTTGGTTATCATCCCCTCCCCCAAATAACAAATGCTAGTGAGGGTTTGGAGAAAAAGTTATACTGCTCTGTTTATGGCATCATAAACTGGTACAACCATTATTGGAAGACATTATGGAGATTCCTCAGAAAACTAAAAATAGATCTACTGTATGACCCAGCTGCTCTACTCTTGGGAATATAGCCTAAGGAAAAGAAATTAGCATATGTGGGGCTGGCCCTGTGGCATAGTTGGGGAAACGTCTGCATGTGGTGCCGGCAAACGATATGAACCACGGTTTGAGTCACAGCTGCTCCACTTCCAATCCAGCTCCCTGCTAATGTGCCTGGGAAAGCAGAGGAAGATGGCTAAAGTTCATGGGCCCCTGCACCAACTTGGGAGACCCATAGGAAGCTCCTGGTTCCTGGCTTCAGAACTGCCCAACTCCATCTGTTAGGGCCATTTTGGGGAGGGAAAGAGAAGATAGAAGATATCTCTTTCTATCTCTGCTTCTCTCTCTCTTTTTATTTATCTTTCAAATAAGTAAATAAATAAATCTTGAAAGAAATAAGCATATGAAAGTTACTGGCACTATGATGTTTATAGAAGCCCAATTCATAATAACTAAGCTAGGTCTTCATCAGATGGTGACTTGATGAAGAAAATATGTTATATGCACAAAATGAATATTACTGAGCCATAAATAGTGAAATCTTGACATTTGCAGTCAAATAGATGCAGCTGGAGATGATTATGCTATTCGATTTAAGCCAAGCTCCAAAAGACAAATACCACATTTTCCCTATTTGTGGTAGTTAGTATATACAGAGATGATAAAAATTGTGTGGATGTCAGATCATGTGATATCTCGTTATAAATATTGCTGGGGTTGTCATTGGCGAAGCAGGATGAACCACCATCTGCAGTGCCAGCAACTCATATGTGCACTGGTTTGAGTCCCGGGTGCTTCATTTTCAATCCAGCTCCATTCTAATGTACCTGTGAAAGCAGTGGAAGATGGCCCAAATCCTTGGGCCCTTTCACCCACCTGGGAGACCTGGATGAAGCTCCTGGCTCCTGATTTGGCCTGGCCCTGTCCTGGCCATTGCGGCCATTTGGGGGAGTAAAACAGCAGATGGAAGATATCTCTGTCTCTCTCTGTCTTTCCCTTTTGTAATTTTATTTCAAATAAAATAAATAAATATATAAATATTGCTTCAGTGAGTCATAACATGCAAATGGCAATACACTCTCATTTCACGTGTTCAAAAGAGAAGTGGATTGGTGGGAATAGTGAGGACTGTTGGAATACCAGTAATGCTTTGTTCTTAACTAGAGTCAAGGATATTATTGTGAACAAATGACAAAAGAAGTTTCATTATTTCTGTACTTATGTGCATTTCTTGCTAAGAAGAGAAAACAACCTATAATTAAATGTCATAAAAACAGTTAGAGATGATTGAAGAATCTGGAAAAGAAACCAGGAAGAATTGGTATTGTTAAGCTGATAAATGGTTTAGGGGTTGGTGCTGTAGCACAATGGGTTAAACTGTTTTCCTGTATTGCTAGCATCCCATATAGGCGCACGTTTGAATCCTGGCTGCTCCACTTCCAGTACAGTTCCCTGCTAATGTGTCTGAAAGTAGTAAAATATGACCCAAGTACTGGGCCCCTGGCACCCACATAGGGGACCCAGATGAAGCTCCTAGATCCTGATTTCAGCCTGACCCTGGCTTTTGTGGTCTTGTGGGGAATGAACCACTGTATAGAAGCACTTTCTCTCTTGATCTCTCTCTCTCTCCCTACTTCTCTCTCTCTCTCCCTTTTGCTTTCTCTCTCTCTGTCTCTCCTTTGTAACTCTGCCTTTCAAATAATTTTTTTGAAAAAAAATATTTAAAGAAGGAGAATGTAGTTATAAGTATGGAGTGCTTCAGGATAGTTTTACTTGGCTTCAAACTGCCTTTTGCATTTGAAAACTAGGGGGCATTACTAAGTTTTTAATGGTCAACATCAGTGGAAACTTTCCAACATACGCCTTTGGGTAGTCTAGTGATGTTACCTTGGGTTGGAGAGTGAGCCTGAGGTGAGGAAGCATAACTAAAATGGCAGACTATGCATAAGGAATGATACCAGAGAAAGTTGAACTTGGAAGTTTCAGTAATATGCTAAAATGGGTATGATTTTTACATAATACACTTTCACTTCATTACAAAGTGTTGCATTTGCACAGTTCTAAGTTATACATTGAAAGATCAGAAAACTATTAAAATCCTTTATCTAGTTTATATATATATTTTTTTATAACAAATCTTCAGTTTATTTGAAGCAATTCCATTTCAAAAACTTTTAAGTTACAGCAGTCACAGAAAAAACGGGATAGAAACAATAGAAGAATGACCGGGAGTACTGTATTTACTGTATTTTTAACACTGTCATGGCTTTATTCAAAACACAGTTGCACAAAAGTATTAACTTCAAAGTTTTTAAGGAGAGATTCTTGAGGAACTTAACACACTACCTACATACTGCCATACAAAGAGCATTAAAGTAGGACCAAAAACGTCTACAAAATATAAAACCCACCCTTACCTGTTTGCATGAAAACACCACCCACAAAACTACAGAAGTCTTAAAAGTTATCCGGAGACTCTAGGTGTTGTTTTCAAAGAACTCTTAATTTTGATTGCACAATATGATGATTTATAAGAAAGTCAATATATAGATTTCATTTTAAAAATAAGTATTTTATAATCTGGCATAGTACGCAATGAGAAATCTTAGGGACTAAAACAGGGCATTTCAACTCGGGAAATTAGGAGGAAAATGTGAAAGTCTTTTGGAAGAGCCCAATCCCTCCACTAAACTTACCCCAAGTGTTTTATTTCAGTCAGTTGTGCAACTTTTTTAGTTTCTCCACAAATAACTTCACTTTTACTTTAAAACATAAAGCATACATTTTAAACTAATAAAGCAGCAGAAAAACTATACTCAGTAATTTAAATGTGTCCCAGTATTGAAGCGAAATTTCAATTAGTATGATGACACTTTTTAACAAACAAAACTTTAGATAATTGAAGTTAAAAAAAGCAATTGCCTTGAACACAGAGCCTCAGTGACAAGAAGGGAAATGCACTCGTCTACTCAGTGAACTTTATTTAGTAGCCATGTAAGGGAACAAACACTCACACTTATCCCAGATTTTTTGTATTTTTAATGGACATCCACTTGAAATCAAGTCAACTTTAGTATCAATTTAGTTTAAAAGATTTTCCAGCTGCCTAGTGTATTTCAATTAAATGCCATATCCACATCCACAATGCTTTAAAACTATAGGAAAAATAATTAAAGGTTCTACTCAGTATTATCAATACTTTGTAGAGTGGTATGCAAATCATTTGAGAAGCCAAGTTAAAAGTTTCACTTGAACACATCATAATGATCAACAGGCAACTTTCTGACTTCTTAGAGCACTAATGTGCTCCCCAAAGCCGCCTCTGCTGCTTTTCTCTCTTCATCCCCTAATACAGTCTCACATGTGATCAGTCAGGAAACGCAGTCTGAGGTGTTGTCAACCAAGAAAGACCTACAGTAAGCACAGCTTGTTGCATAAAATCATAGCAATAATAATATCTGTGCCTCAGAAGACAGTCCATTTCTTTTCCTTTCTTTGTTTAAAACTCAGGTCTGAAAAGGGAGGTAAGGTTTAAAACTAGAAGTTTTCCTGGGTATCTCCACAAGTTTCCTACTTTATTTTGGGATAAAGGAGGGAGCAACACATTGAAAGAAGGTGATCATAAAGGAACTGTTGAGAGGAAAAGAATGCTCACAGCTAGAAGCAAAACACTAGCCAAGCGCTGGCATGTTGTGATCTGCAGCCTGAGGAGAGGGCTCGCCTGCAGGACTATAGGTTTAGTATGAGCGACTCTTCCTTCAAAGATAAAATCTTATCAGTCCCAACAAACCCCACGGACTACATTATTGAACAGAACCTCCACACAACCCATGAACTAGACTGCTGAGTAGAACCTTTACTATTCTGCTCCTCCTTTCCAAGTTACTCTTGTGACAGAGAAAGCACGCAAATGTCCTTAGCCCAAAAACAAGCCATTTCCTTCAACTGAAGATCTCTGGATCACCTCTAAAAAAATAACCAGCTTATTCAAGCAACGATTGTTATTTCATATTACAACTGACTGTAATCTTAGTTAATTTATAAATAACTTTAAAACCTTATGAATGAAATGCACCAAACTACACCTGTGTAAAAGCGATCATGTTTTAATTATGAGCTAAAAATGACTAATACAGTGAGCCTGAATTAGAGAAATTAAGATTCTAAATAAACTGCTAGGGAATTTCACAATGGGGGCCAATGAAAATTATTCTCTACATACAATATGATCATTAACATACTAGTAACTCTTATTTGGAATGATAAGGCAAAAATAGTAAAACCAAACTTCTCCTATAAAAAGTTACACAATCTCTTCTGAAGGGACAGCTATTGTACACAGAGAAACAGAGGAAGAAGTGATCACTCCATTGCACACCCAGGAACATTAGGGCCTCCGTCTCAGAATGATCTAGTCATCTTCTTCCTCTCCATCGTCTTCAGCATCTCGTTTCCTCTTCTCCCCTCGAAGACACTCTTCTTCTTCATCTTCCTCTTCTTCCCCTTCTTCGACATAGTCATCATCATCTTCTTCATCCTGAATTTCATCTTTCATTAAGAATGAGAGGCCCACTTCTTCTCCCTCTCCCACTTCTGAGCCTGCTTCATCCTCATCCTCATCCTCATCCTCCTCTTCTTCTTCCTCCTCTTCCTCAAATCCTTCAGGTGGACCGGCTTCATCTTCTTCTTCATCATCATCTTCATCACCATCCTCGTCATCCTCTTCTTCAGAGTCTGGGGCTTCGTTATCCTCCTGATCAAACCCATCCAAGTATGTGATTTGCTGCAGCAGTTCAAAAATGCTTCCTCTGTAATCTTCCAGGTTTGTGATCTCACAGTTAAACAAGTCAAGACTTTTCAAATTTTTAAGATTTTGCAGAGCTTCAACCGTACTGAGATCTTTGATTTTGTTTCCACTCAGATTGAGGTAGGTAAGATTTGGGCATTTCTCTGCCAGGACTTCCAAGCCTCCAGAAATTATATTGTCACTAAGTTCCAGCTTTCGAAGTTTATTTAAGCTGGGAAGCTGGGCCAAAGAACTGAGTTCCACATTAGCCATACTCAGAAACTCCAGTTCTTTAAAAGTATCATTCAGACCTTCAATCTCCCCATTGACACAAAGGCAGTTATCAAGGACTAACTCTGTCACCTCCTCCGGGGCTCTGTTCCTTAACTCCAGGTTAATCCTCTTCTTCATCTCCATGTCCTCCTCCTGCTCTTCTGCGACTACTCTCCTCCCTACCCCTTTCCTGCCTTTCCCACTACCCCCAACCCTAAAAATTTTTTAAAGATTTGGAAATGAATGAAAAGAAATGCAAATATAAACGCCTACTACCACCAGATAGGTGTGAAGGAGAAAGAAAAGAATAGCAAATGGAGTCCAAGGAGTTGGGACTCTAACTCAGCTGCCCCCACCTCCTTGTCCACACACCCGCGCGCGCACACACACGCTCGCACACATACACACATACACGCACACACACAGAGCCGCAGTTCCTTCCCCTTCAATGGCTGCTCAGAGACTGCTTTATCTAGTTTATATCTTTATACATTTTAATATACTTTTTCTTCTTGAGTTGCAGTTCTCATTTTCTTTCAAAACATATTTAAGTGGGAAAATTATTTTATTCCCATAAATGTGTATTTCTTTGGATAAAATTTAAATGTATGTCAAAATAATCATTTTATTTAAGGAATACCAATTTTCTCCAAAGTTTGACAGAGTAAATATTTCAGGCCTTGAAGGCTATATCATGTCTGTCAAAATGGCTTAACTCTGCTAATGAATAGATATGGCATTGTTCCAATAAAACTGTTTACAATCACAGAATGGTTCAGATTTGATCTGAAGTTATCAGTTTACTGATTTCTACTTTATATGGTTCAAAAATAATAATTTTCATTCTGCCTGCTGAGATAGGACTTTAATCTGCAGAGCAACATCTTAGAAATGTTGAAAAAGACATTTTGATCTAAAATAATAAGATAAAAATGTCAAATAGAGTTGTTCTGAACAAGTCACAAATTTTGCCAAATGTTACAAGGAGTCTTGACTCCTTATGGAAGGAAAATGTTGGAAATAAATTTCTACATTAAGAGAATGTCTAATTTCCTACCATAATGATCCAAAATTTCATGAAGACTACAAAATGGAATACCAGAATTAAAGAGAAAAAAATCAGAAAAACTGGAATTCTTACTAAGAAAGACTGCAGATATTTTCTACCAGCATGTAGAAAATATTCCAGTGACATTCAAAAACTAATGTTCATTAAAGTAATTTATAGTATGAATCACTTGGAATAATGATCTCAAGATAAAAGTGTTTCATTCTAGTTATGAAAGTTTTAGTGGGATACAATATTTATTACCAAGTTCTGATTTATTAAATGAGATTGAAGTAAAAACAGCAACTTTTAAAATTCTCTTTCTTATATTCAGGTATTTTCTGGCAGATAATTTTATGGTTTATTTGTATAATCAAGGATCTGTGAAATCTCATTCTTCAGGCATTCAGGTAAGATTTATGTTCTGTGTTTTATCGATTTTAACAAACTTTTTTCTATTGAATAAATGTTTTTCTAATATATCAACTCTTGATTCCCAGGGGGTATATTTAAAGCATTCATTAATTGTCGCTCCCCCATTCATGGAGGAATGACACTAAACCCTGCGCTGTTCTTTTGTCTGCTCGGCCCTTCCCGGGTTTGCTGCTGGTCCTTCCTGGGTTGGCTGCCGACCCCTCCACCTCCGTGGAAGGGCGGTTCCCCCTGCCACTTTCCCCACTTCCGCAGGGGAGCGGCACACCGCCGGCCGGCTCTCGGGGGCTGCTCAGGTGTTCCTTCAAATGTTCCTGGTGCCTGTTGTCTCTCTCCTCCTTTATACTCCTCTTCCACCAATCCCAACTCTGCTGCCCACACACTGAGCATGCTGCTCTCCTCCAATCAGGAGCAGGATCAGCTCCTGCAGCTTATCAAACTGATGAGGCAGCTGTGTAGTTGTTTGCTCCTCCCCAGCGCCATATTGTGGGAGAGCAGATGCATAGAATTAGTCCTAGTTCCAGTAATTTAGTCTAGTCTTAGTTGCTCCCCACAATTAATAGTCAGACTTTCCAGAAATCTTCGTAAATTAAAGACAAACTAGGTTGACTTAGCTGGTGTCACAATGCTTAGAATGTGGGTACAATTTATTTATTTATATTTGTCTAATAAATGAATATAATTTAAAGAAAAAGAAAATCAGATGCAAATGTTTTTGGACATATATCACAGATGCATTTTTTAAAATAATGTTACCTCCCATCCAATTCATCTATATATCCTACTCACTCTGTTTTTCTAATTCTGTATCAGAATTTACCCTCATCCTTTGTCCTGATTCACTGATATAACCCATTTCCAAGTAGGCCTTGTATGTAGCTTGGATTATTGCCACAACGTCCTGAATAATCTCCCTTGCACACCTTTTCCAAATGCTCAGTCAGTTCTCATCATGGCAACCAGACTGACCCTGTTAAAACCTCATTAGATCATGACTATCAGAGGGCTTCCCATTGCTCACAAAGTAGGGACAGTAGCCAACCCGGGAAGAACCAGCAGCAAACCCGGGGAGGGCCGAGCAGACAAAAGAACAGCGCAGGGTCCTGTGTCGTTCCTCCACGAAGACGGGGAGTGACAATATAGATAAGGGCTATAAACAATAATGACATAATAAGATATCAGTTTCATTCTTAGGCTTTTTCAGATTATATTTTAACTACCACATATCAGAGAAAACATATATTTATCTCTTTGGACTTGATGATTTTGCTAAGCATAATTGTATCCAGTTCATCCATTTAGTTACAAAAGACAGGCTTTTATTCTTTATTATGGATGAGTAGTATTTCATTGTGTATGTATACTTTTTTTATCTGATCATCAGTTGATGTAGTACATCTGTTGATTCACTATTGTGAATTGTATTTCTAAAAACATTGGGATACAAAGAACTTTAATATGTGGCACCATTTCCTTTGGGTAAATTCCCAGGAAGGAAATAGCTGGGCTATTTAGTAGATATATTTTCAGATTTCGAAGGAATCTCCATATTGTCTTCTATTATGGTTGTGTACTAGTTTTACATTCTCACCAGCAATGTATTTTGGTATCTTTTTCCCCATATCCTTACCAGAATTTATTATTCTTTGACTTGTGAGTGATAGCCACTCTACCTGAGGTAACGTGAATCTTGATTATAGCTTTTATTTCCATTTTCCTTATGGCTAGTGATCTTGAGTATTTTTTCGTGTGTCTGTGGCCATTTTAATTTCATTCTTTGGAAAATACCTGTTCAAATCCTTTTCCCATTTCTTAACAGGATTATTTGTTTTGTTTGAGTTTCTTGTTGCTCTTTATATATCCTGGATATTAATCCGTTATAAAGTGTACAGTTTACAAATATTTTTTCCCATTCTGTCAGTTGTCTTTTCATTCTGATGGATGTTTCCTTTGATGTGCAGAAGCTTCTTAGTTTGATGTAGTCCCATTTGTCTACTTTCACTTTTATTGCCTGTGGTTCTGAGGTTTTATGCAAGAAGTATTTGCCTATGCTAATGTCTTGGAGAGTTTCTCAAAGTTTTCCAATAGCAGTTTTATAGTATTGGGTCATGTATATATATTCTTGATTCATCATGAGTTGAATTTTGTATAAGGTGTATGGTAGGGGTTTTGTTTCATACTTTTGCAATCGGAGATCCAATTTCCCAACACCAGGAAGTGATGTTAGCTCCTTGTCAAAAATTACTTGGTTGTATGGATTGAATTATAGGGTTTATATTCCATTTCATTGGTCTACTTGTCTATTTTTGTGCAATATCAGGCTGTTTTGATTATAACTGACCTGTAATATGTCTTGAAATCTGGCATTTTGATGCCTCCACCTTCATTTTTTATTGTTCTATTGTCTTAGTTAGTTTACTTATTTTCTATCTCTCAATGAAATGCAAACGTTTTTTTAAAGATTTATTTATTTATTTGAAAGGCAGAGTCACTGAGAGGCAGAAATAGACCTTTCATCTTCTGGTTAACTCTCCAAGTGACCACAATGGCTGAAGCCAAGAGCTAGGAGCTTCCTCTGGGTCTCCCACATGGGTGCAGGGACCCAAGGACTTTGGCCGTCTTCTACTGCTTTCCTAGGCTACAACAGAGTGCTAGATTGGAAATAGAGCAGCCAGGACTCCAACCAGCACCCATGTGGATTTCCAGCACTGCAGGTAGTGGCTTTATCTGCAATGCCACAGAGATCCCCCCCAATTGCAAATCTTCATGTGGGGAAGGCTTTTGAACTCTTTTATTTATAGATGTAATACCAATGCCTAGAAAAGTTCCTGACATGTATTTAACTGATAATGAAAACCGCTGAAATATTTAGGTAACCAACCATGTTCCTTCACTTACATTGGGTAAGGTCATCATTGTACTTGATTGCTCCTTCCTTTATTTTAATCAATAAAGTAATTCATAAATAAGAAATATTGCTTTTGTTTATACCAAATTTATAGTGATTTTGTATCCTGGAAATGGCTTAGTCTTTTTTTATGATAATGTTATTTTGTTTTTGTTTACAAGATTTATTTATTGGAAAGTTGGGGGGTGGAGAGAGAGATCACTCTTTCAACTGATTCACTCTTCAAATGGCCTCAGCAGCTTGTGCTATGCCAGATGTGAGTCAGAAGCCAGGAACTGCATCCGGTCTCCCACATAGATGGAAGGGACCCAGGCATTCCAAGCCACATTAACAGGGTACTGGATGGGAAGTATAGCAGCTTTAACTGGGATACAGTTGAAGTAGTTGCTTAACCTACCCATGTGCACCACAATGACAGCCTCTGTTGCCGTGTTTTCTGCCTTGGCTGTGTATACCCATAGATTGACTGTGGTCAGAGGATTGTAGTCCTTTGAACTTTGATGAGTTCTGTTTCATGGCCCAGAATATGAATTCATTTTTGTAAATGTTTTCTGTGTGTTTCAGAACTGAATTCTGTAGTCTTTAGATTGACTTTTTTTACATATATTATGTTGCTTACTAAGCATAATGTTCAAATCTCCTATAGATTTTGAATGCTTAGTTCATCAGTTTCTGATTTAAATTATCTTCACACATTTGACTGCTTGTGTATATTTATTTATCTTTTTACTATTTCTTCAATTTTAGCTTTTTTTTGAAGCTGTGTTATTAAGTGAATACAAATTTTGTATGTGTATCTTCTGGTGAATTCAAACTCTTTATCAGAAGTCCATCTTTGTCTCTAGTGATGCTTCTTGCCTGCTGCTCTACATTTGCTATTTTTAGTTTCAGAATCATCCTTTTGGTCTGCATTGGCATGGCATATTTAACACTTTAAACTTTCTGAGTAATCACATCTTCATATCTCTCTAGTGACAGCTTAAAGGATTGGAAAGTAATTAAAATTCACAGCCCTTTCCTTTTAAATGATGATTTGTATA